TCTCTCTCTCTCTCCTTCAATTTTTAAATCTTTAGCAAATTTGCTATTGGTCATTGCTTGGATTGTAAGTGGGACTATCCAAGTGATGATCATAATATGAGCCGAAAAGGTGCATCCACATATGATTGCTTCTCTTCAAGCTCTAATCAAGTTTGTTGCCAGGCAATGATTTTCCAAATAAAACCAAATAAGAGATCAATTCATAATAGATCATATGCTCTAGGCAAAGCAAATTCTTGCTTTTCTGAATAACTTTTGCCAAAATTTCCACAACAATCAATGTAGAGGCCCGGCCACAAAACCGATGCACAAGTTTATTTCTCGATTATCCAGAGGAGGCATAAATCGAGCTTCAAGGCTCGTCGTATAAATTGGTTTCAAATTTCAACTCTGAAAACTCACAGAACAATCACTAACAAAAAATCTGCAAAATGCATGTAAATATATATGTGTCTGTCATACAACCAAACTAGCAGTTAAAATGGGATCCATGTGAGTTGATACAAATCTGATGACAACATTTTTTTCAGACCAAGAAACCCAGGCTTGCAAGTTGTGTGTACCTTAAAGAAAGTTTCTTTGGAAGTTTCCGGAAGAAAACCTGGAGGAAAGACCCTGAGCCATGTTTTCACTGTCGAACTTAATTGACTTCCTTCCGGCGGTTAAATCCTTTTCACGGTCCCAGGGCTTCCACGGGTGATTCCCTTCCCACTCCTCTTTTTCCTTTTCCTGCTTCGATTTTTTCTTCGGGCGGCTCTCTTTATGCTTCTCGACCAGCGATTTTGAACGTCTCGCCTTGTTGTACTGATCGACGAGTTCTGCATCGGGGTTCGGTTTTTTCTTCTCTTGTTCGTTCGAAGCAAGTGCTGCAGCCTCATTGTACGCTTCTAAGTAACTGGCCACGAAATACAAGGTCCAGTCAAAAATATATAAATAAAATTAAAAAATGACCCTCTTGAAATTTTTTCCAACATCTGACTCATAGAGAAGGTAGTTATTATACCATAACAGGAGTTTGAAATATTGATTACTTATTTTTAATAATGTTTCAAGTGTAGGGAAAAGTTATGTAGTTTATGACGTACTTCATCTTTGCCTTTTGAGCTCTTTCTAAAGGCGTGTCGGTCCAAGCACTGGTATCACCACGTCCTTCTTTTGAACTCTTACTAAATGTTCTCGTCGAGTGCATGGATACACCAGGCTGCACATAGTGCAAAAGTTAAAAAA